GATAATTACTGTAATTAAAAGTAATACACGTATATCAAAATTATAATAAATTTCCCGGGCTAAGGATCGACAACACTAATATTATTTACGAACATACTGAATTCTTTACATAATCATCGAAAAACATACCCAAGGTACAATAAGGAAGTATGCACTCTACCATAATACTATAATAACTGGGTTCAATGAATATTATTATGTTTCAGGAAAAAGTTCATATGAAATATAAATAAATCATTTTCTAATTTTTTAAATTATGTTATTTATTTTTTTCCTCCCATTTATCTACCGTATCGATTATTCGTTTAGCACTAACATGTCCGAGATCGAAATAATAGTGGTTATGTTCTGGATCAAACATATATATATGAGCATCAATTTCATCCTTTGAATCACACGTAGTGGACGAGAAATAAGGTAACATTTCAGGTGGTGGAAGATGAATAAATGTACGTAATAAAGAAAAAGCGTCACTGGGAGAGATCTTTAAAAAATTTAGTCGTAAGCGTAAACGTTAAAAATATAAAAAATAAAATAAATAATAAAAAAATACCAAAATACCTGTGTATAAAAGCAATGGAAAGTGATATCTGGTACTTTTACTAAGTTTTCTACCCTGGTTGGTTGGTAATAAACAATTTAATGTTGTGATTTAAAACAAATAAGAGTTTGATCAAAGAAGACCTCCATTACCTTTGTTTTAACTCATCCTTTTTCCATAAAACACCCACATATTCTAGATGGCTTCCTAACCATTCAACACCCTTACCAACATTATCTTTTTGCATATATACTGCCCCGCTAACAAGTGCAGCACCGGCCAATGCAGCCAATCCCCACTTACTAAATCCAAACGATGAGTTGGAAGCAGTGGTAGAAGTAGCGTTTTTGGCTGCAGTACTCGACAAAATTCCCGAGGCAGTCGCAGCCGTACTTAATAAAGTAAATGTACTACTAACTTGTTGAGCTACGCTGCCTACGCGTTCCAGTGCGGCTTTTGAAAAAACATTCTCATGTACACCATAGTATGGAGTATCAAAAGCAAACAAACCGATAATTTTTGGCGCAGTTGGGCATTCCTGAGATGCATATTTGAGAATTGTGTCTGCGGCTGTTATAATTATTATTTTTAATATATATGTATATGTTTTTTTTAAATTAGTAATGAAAAAAAATAGGTTTCTAAATTTCTACTAATATTAAAATATCTACTAATATTAAAATATAGTTTTGATCAAAACATTACCTAATATACCACCCATTGAATGTCCAATCAAACAAATCCATATATTACCCTTTCTATCAGGCGAACTGATGATATCTTCACGTTCCTTGACTATCTTTTCTAACCATTCGCAAAATAACTCTACCGCTTTTTTCAAATCACCCCTTGTCTCATACTGAGGATATACTATTGATTCTGTATCCAAACTCGGCTTTGAGCTTGTCAAAATATGTTGAAGCCGTTCTGGAAATTGCTAAATTTATTAAAAAAAAAAAAAAAAAATGTAAGAGCAATGAAATGAATTTAAAAATCGATCGTAAGAGATAAAAACTGTAAAAACCCTAAAAGTATTATCGTCCCCTTTAAAGCCATGAATAAAAATTAATAAGAACTTGTTTCTTCTTTCAGTCACTTTCTCACTTGACATTGTCAGTCACAATTCCAACTCTAATATTACAAAATAATCAAAGTAATCTTTGTTTTAATAATACAATATATAGTACATATTTATTCTAATATTTATAGTTAATAATTCACAGAATTATTTTTTTGCGCAGAAACTGTTTCTAGTGAAATGAATCTTTAAATAATTTATTTTCACTACACGTGCTAAATTAACCAAATTTAATTAGCGTTAGTAGATCTTCCAAAGATTTGCATAATTCTAGCCGTTTCTAGGTGATTTATATGCCAAACACACTTAAAGTCAACTTCGAATTAGTAATATAGTATTAGTCACACGTTTTGTCACACAATTTTTACTACGTAGTAAATTTTTTACTAACGCTAACAAAAATAATGCAAAATTTTATTCTAAACAAGTTTACTTAAAAGACAAAAGTAGATTATCTTAATA